GAACAACTGTTTAAACCTTAACAAATGATCGACAGCTCCCAATTATAAAGTACAGTCGCGCAATTAGTTCCGGTCCCTCACCCAGGGAAATAGGAAAAGGTGAAACCTTCACAGATTAGAAAGGCAAGCGTAACGAAATAGGTGTAAAGACCCTCACCTGTGCAGAAACATCGCCTTTCTCTGCCAGAAACCGGTAGTATTCAATCAAATTTTGATCCATGGGCACCGTTATTGTATTTGTTGAAGATGGTTCCTGAAAAGGTGATGGAACATTTTGGCACCCCTCTCCACCCTAGGAATGTGAAATGCATTAAACGATTCGCAAAGCCATTTCAATGTTTCCATTAACAATACTTACCATTTCATCGGTTAATCTTATCCGTTGGATCGCTAGACCAGTCGAAAACCTAAATCCTTCGGCAACTTTCTGAGCCGCCTTTTCGTAATACGACAATGCATTCTCGCAATTCTGAGGGACAGCAATTCCAGCATAATAACGGTAGCCCTATAACGAAGTAGTTAATAGCATCAAGATATTTTAACGAAACAAGCGTAAGAGATCGAAATACAAAGTAGTAATTAAATAAAGTAAAGAGCTGTAGTTTTACTCACCATGGCCATTTGAGCAAGTGGATTTCCGCCAAGAGCCGAGAACATATAGTATACTAAAGCTTTGGCTTGATTCGATTTAGGCATGCCCAGTCCAGTAGCGTGCATGAAAGCAAGACCTAAACTATGCAAATCGCATACCATACTTTCGAACCGAAAGCTTCCCTTGAACAGATATAACTGACCCAATTGAGCATCGGGCGAGCCATTTTCAGCAAGTTCCTCGAAAATCTTTTTCGCTTCATCGATGGACCAACGTGCTCGATCACCAAAGAGATGAGCGTACGCTAAAATAAGCAAGCCTTAGGCAAGAAAACTCGGAAGGGCAAGAGTCAGTCTGGTCCAAAGTAACCAACCCATGAGCTTCATGGCGTCAGTGTGCCCAGATTGTGCAGCCTGATCGAGTAAACGATAGGCGGCTTTTTTACCCTCAATGCCATGTCCGCGTCCGCGCTCAAGAAACCTCAACGCCTGTTGATAGGTCGTCTCCAGGTGCTCATCGCTGAAGCAGCCAGAATAGAACATGATATAAAAAAGGCAAAAACGTTTCCACGAACAAATAGGTTTTCCTCAAAAGGAGGAGAACAAGTCCGAGAGCAAAGAAATTTTTTCAAAAAAGGGGAGCTACGCAGGGCAATGCAGTGAGAAAGGAAATTTCAGCGCACAACAGTCGTGACCTCTACATACACATAAAGGAAGCCCTTAGAGTCAATATGATAGATGAGATATGCGCGTAAGGGAAGCCCTTAGACTTGGTATAATAGATGAGATATGTACCCTTTGACCTCATCCCTCTCCCTGAATCTGGGCAAAGCTATAACTTCACATAATTCAGGAAAGTAACTGCTGAAAAGCACACTCAATTGCCATTCAAACATACCTTGTGGCCATTGGTTTTTCAGGCATGTACTCCTCACCAGGTGTTAATGGAGGTGGTGGTGGAGGTGCAGCATTTTCTTCGACTAATTCTATATCTTCGGGTGAGATTGCTAGATCGGCTGAAAGCAGCTAAACTCATAGTGAATAATACGTCCTGACTGATGAACCAACTCTGAGCTTGATGAAAAAATACATTCTTGAGACCTAATATGAAATTCATTTTTAGATAATTGAAGGCGTTTCACAATGGGAAAACCATTACATTAAATGCCTCGCCGACTCGACAAAATTTTCTATTTGAGCGAATTCGGCTGCTTGTATCAAAAAGAACGGAAGCCTGAGATAAGAAAAAAACCAAATTGCAAACCGAATATAAAGACGTGAAAAAGAAAACATCTGAACTCTCGACCCAGTTTTTCTTCCATTACTACCCAGGAAAAAGCCATCCTTATATCCTGCCGCTCGGTTCCTCTAACACATCTTTTCTAACCATAACAACTAAAGCTCATTGTCTCAAACTCCTGATTCCGGATAGCAACCGGTTACGGAACAACAAAAGTTTTTCAAGCGATAACATTCCATGAACTGGCCCCGGTGTAGATTCAGAGGTCACTTTTTGCACCGTAGAACTTTGAACAACGCACACGTCACCCACACAGATATTTTGAAGTAACCTATTCTCTATTAATGGTCCAGGAAAGCAATATAGTATTAATAGTACTTATGTGAAAGAAAAGTCAGAAACTTCTCAGTACAGTAATCCACTCACCAAAAGTAGTTCTGGCTTTTCTGTCTGCCGGTTCAGTTTCGCCTTCACTATTGAGTGCAACTACATTTTTATCCGGTTGTTTTCGACCAGGTTCGGTTTTCTGGACGGATGTTGCAATTATCACCGATAATACACCATATAGTAATAATCGGTTTAACCGCATACCTAAACGGTAAACAATGACGTCATGGAATGCAACTTTAAATTTTCAAATGACCAGAAAATCAGTTGAGAAATGAGAGACATGGAAATAAACCGAACGATCGGAGCGAACGAGGAAATCAATGACGTAAAGCAGTTCCACGATTATCAGTGTTGCAGTAAGTGTCTGTAAAATTGCGTCTTAATTGTTTGCTGATTCGGCCACGCACAATTGCAGACGATTATGTGACGATTCTTAATAGAGGATTGGCAGGCATACCACTTGAGGTGCAAAATGGCATTCTGATGGTTAACCATCGATGGATCCACTTATTCATCCATCGATTGTCTGTGACTGAAGAAATCGATAGGGAAATCAATCGACAATTTAGAAAAGAGTGATGAAGCTTTCTATTTGTTTGGACGATTATACATCGTAAGAAATGGAGAGGTATTGACACGTAATCACTGGCGTGAGAACAGGTGGTAATCGTTCATTGGTTGGAGCCTCAGGGATGCGCCATGCATACCGCCCTCAAGCGGAATTGTAGAGCCAATTGAAGACCTTCTCGACCAGTACCTTGCTTTATACAAGGTTTTTCGATGCGTCGCCTTCTCACCTTTAATTCAGCGCTCCTATCTTCTGTAGCACTGCAGGAGTTTTCTAGGAACCCTTAACTTTACGATAGTCACCTCCTTTTTCTTCTTTCTTTCTTGGATCTTTTTCCACTTTTCAAGGTTACCAAACTTTCCATACCGCGAAAACAACTACCTGGAACAATTCTAGCAAGGGGAAGTTAGAGTATAGTCAGAATAGCTGCACCGGATGCGGAAATGTAGATTCAAAAGGCAATATGACGAATGGTGGCGTAATGGCTATTGGCGCAGCTGCTGTTTGTGCATCGTTGCCTAATCATTGGTTTGATACCCACAGTTAGTCGAACTGAACTTTATTTGCTCGGTTTCAGCCAATCAATATAAGACCTATTCGGATGTCTGCTTTCAGGATTCAAGTATGCCTGTCCAGGGATTATGGTTATAAGGTTTTCCCAACAAATGGTCTCAAGAGCTTTGATGAGTACATGTACAGGCTGAATACGACCCCACCCTGAATGTTCCTTCAATATAAGACACAACTTTCATTTTTAGAGCATCTGATATGGAATAGTGACAAGAGGCGCCGTCACAGTGTTGGTGGCCAGAGAACCGGATTTGAATAAAACATGGTGTCGAGGAAAATGGCTCGTTTAATTATGCCCCGTCCTACTGATGTACCTTATAGTATGCAACTATAACTTCCAAAAAAGTGGTAAATTAGTAAGGATTCACCTCTATCGGACAGGGCGCAAAGAAAAAGTTATAAAATTGGCGAGCTGAACTAATTCCCTATTTCGCTGATACGACTTTCGAGCCATCTTTCGAGTACGTCCCTGTGTGGGGGGGAAGAGTTGTCCCTATACCTCCTATGTTGGTTGCACCCCCTTTACTGAGCCTTGAATTGGTACCAGATTTTAAGCGAATGGGACTGTAGTGCGTGGGGCAACTTGATTGGTCCTTTCATCTTCTAGTACCACTACCGTCTAAGTTATCATTCGACTGTAGAGATAATATTTTGATCAATTTGAACTCAAAGGACTCCTTGGAAAAACGAATTCGATCGGCTTGTTCTCATTGCTGATGTTGGCTGACCGCCTCACCCACCTCGTTGCACGCTGATGGTGCGTGGCGCAACCCGACCGCCTTGAGGGCTGATAAACTATGGCATAAAACTCATCAAGAAGGGGAGGGATAGCGGGGTCCCGATAGTGGAAGGGATGGAGAACGGTGCCCGGAAAGCACAAGTAAAAGTTCGAGTCCAATGCGAGGTCGAAGTTATGCCCACAAATCTCAGTCTGTGAGAGTTTGTTCTCAATGGCGAACGTGGCGTTGAAGAGGGAACAAGCTTCAAAGTCATTTGCCTTCGCGAACCCATTTTATGAGGTAGTTTCTATAGAAACAACTTGGAAGCTGCCTAGCTCTAGGCCTGGGAAGAGGAGGTGACTAAATAAGGTCCTTTTCCAGAACTTGGACTCGAAGTTATTTGTATTGTTTGCAGAACTCCCAGGAGAATTAAGTTCGAGGAAAACTCTTGGAAATTCTATAATCTTCTAGAAGCCGTAGCAATTTAGCGTACTATCACTGAAGGGGAGAACAAGCAGGGTATCTGTAGAGTAAGGTTTAAAGCACCCGGATAGTGCAAGAACGAGTTCAAGTCCCCTCCAAGGCCGAAGTTTTGTCCACAAATCGCTATCCTTGTGAGACTATCACTGAAGTGATAAAAAGGATGGATAGTGCCAAGTGGCACTATTTCCGACCACGTAGATCTTGGGACTCGTGGATGAACCCCTGGTCTTTAAGCGTCCAGCCAAACCAGGCATACAACCATCGGAGTTGGTTAGCCGATATCAAAGTCGTCTGGAACTGAACTCATCATCAGCTGATCCAAGCAGGAAAGTGAGGAATCAATATGAATCCAAAATTGACAACGATTTTGAACGGATGCTAACGAGTGGGAGCATTCGGGAACGAGATTGGTGGATTTNCTTGTTAGACTATCAGTGACTGAAGTTTTAGATAAGACGGGTAGTGCCAAGTTGCACTATTCCCGACCGCGTAGATCTTGGGACTCGTAGATGAATCCCTGGTCTTTAAGCGTTCAGCCAAACCAGGCATACAACCATCAGAGTTGGTTAGCCGATATCAGAGTCGTCTGGAACTGAACTCATCATCAGCTGATCCAAGCAGGAGAGTGAGGAATCAATATGAATCCAAAATTGACAACGATTTTGAACGGATGCTAACGAGTGGGAGCATTCGGGAACGAGATTGGTGGATTTCAAAATGACACTATGAGAATAATTCGAAGCAATGCAGTGAATTGACGGTATGTGAAATCAATAAGGGGGCGGAAAAATATAACAAAATTACACATGCAAAAAAGAAAAATGGATTGATGATTAAATAAACTTTTATTGTGATATGCAGGTACAAGCGGCAAAAGGGTTCTGCCCGCTCACTGGAACATCGAAGGTTCATGAGGGCCTATCCGTTGTACCAGTTCAACGATGAGACTCGAAGGAATGAATTTCTTGTAATTCTCTTTATAAATTGTCCCACGGCCCCTCAGTCCATGAGATCTGATCGCGATGACGTCATTGTGTCATTATGTTTCAATAAACTGGCAAAATGGTGCCATGGTTTGTGCACCTGGCCTCTATCTGTCGAATGATCGTGGACAGACTGACTGCGACCCGTCCATCACAATGTCATGAATGAACAATACGCGTAATTGAAATTCAAATAAGAAATTCATCATCGAGCAATTTGAATGCTTCCGGAAAGCCAACCCGCTGCTATGAAGCTCCCATGATAAATGGCTACCCTCCTAGCCGAAGAGAGGGAGCTTATCGAGGTATTCTCAACATTGGGGTGGGTCAGTAGGCTCATGAACATCATCGCTCGAGTTTTTTTTTCTCGAAATGTTTACAGCCATGGTGATCTGATTCGGTTACATCCTTTGTTTGCTTTTCCCCCATAAAGGGAACACTTAATTGGATGAAAATCTGTGGCTTCTTGCCGTTGGGGTTTCTGAAATTCGTATTCAGGGTTAGATTTGAGGGGATGGAAGCCCTACAGAACTTCTAGATCCTTGAAAATAGCCTAGGTAAGGTAAGAAATTAGGCATGAAACCAATCTAGTTGTTGAGCTTTATTAAGCAACAAACAACTTAAGAATTACGGAATTATGAAAGAACATAGCGCTGATCCTGGATCGATAGAAACCTTCAAGGGTAACCATACCTCCAATCTTGGCACCTATAGACCGCTATCAACTCAATCATGGAATCGAACACCCGGCTTCCTCACTTGCACGCTTTGTTTAGGCTAAAAGCCAGTTCAAACCCCATAATGAACCTGATGAAAGTCGGATGCGTGGCTCCTCCCAAGAGATGCCTAATCATCACCAAGCTCTTAGACCCATCAAAAATAAAAGTGATACTGCTTGATGGATATTTCAATTGAGTAAAGCATATCTTACAAATTCAAGAATGAGCATCCGATAGGAGGTCTGCCTAAGAAAATCAGAGAAAACTGGTAAGAGCTTCGGTAAGTCTTTTTCATTGATAGGGGCGCAGCAGATAGGTATTCATTCGTGTCTATGTTTTCATGTGGGAGTCAAGAGCATGGCCCATTCGAGAAGGGTACGCTAACAGGTTCCGGCATCATATTTGTACTCAACCATCATATTTTCATTGCCCTTACATAGATGTCTCTCAGTTCACCCACTTAATGCTTATCCCTCTTCAGAACCCTATTCATGTTTCAATTGAGGTGAGCCAGACTGGACCTTGGCCTATTCTTCCCTTGCTCATTTAACATTCCGGCGTCCATGAAATAATACGCAGATGTTCATGTTCCAGCCAGGCACGACGTCTGGTCTCTAGGAGATCCAAAAACAAACAATTACAACAACTCGGTCTGTCAAGCCCGACAACGGTTACTCGCAATTTTCTGTCTAGTCTAGACAACGATACCCATTCGAGTGAAAGACGGTTCCTAATGTAGATGTTGGGAATTACCCGAAAATTCTTGCCCCACTCTACTCCGACCATAGGAAACGCCATTGACAACTGTGTTATGAGTGTTAGCTCCCGGAGAATTTTGAAGAAAGAACGAGTAGGTGTTCAGCCTAGGGGTGGACTGCCATGACTTGGAGGAATTCATGCAAATGGTTTCATACTTCCTGAAAGCATACTGCACTGCCTAGCTCTGCCCACTTCGAATGCGTTGGACTCCAGTGAGGTTTTTGAAAGGTTTCCATATAATACAACTCTGGGTGGAACCGCTCAATGACATTCCTTTATTCTTGGTCGAACCATACCCGATCGTTCCGACTCCTCAATATCTTGCCTAAACCTGATTCTGACGTCAAACTGCCAAGTTACATTTTTGCATCGCTAACCAAAACGGTGAAAGGATTCTCAGAGAATTAGTAAGTGCCGGCTGTGGGCTCAGCTCAGCTTGAACTAAGACTCTTTCTTCTTCTTATTTCCTTCCCCTTCGTTTCAGAAATTTCAATAGACTTGGCTGACCATGGGTTGAGTGCTCAAGAGTACTATTGAGGCCAACGAATACACAGGATGTGCTTTTTGATTGTTTCGAGAGTAAGTTGAAGTAATGCGAACTATTCCCTGTGGGACAGTTGATGAGTGGCTGGAGCTTGATTCTAATCAGCTGAGCAATTGAGTGCTGTGCAGTCCTAATTGCACGAGGAAGAGTCTCTCGAACGTAATGCGCCTAACACCATACGGAAGAAGATAACTCAATGTTCACCTTATCTTTGGAATGATACCTGACGGCATGAGTATTTCTTTAAAGGAATTCATCAAAAGTACCCATCAGTACGGAATTCGTCATAAAAATGGATGGATAAAATCTCAGGCGCTACCTCATTCCATTTTTTGTGGGATGCGCCCCGCATTTGTCTTGAATTCAAAATCCTCAGAGCACCTTGAATGCGTATGTGACCAATACAATGGATTGCGGTGAGCATCCGATGTATAGCTCACGGCTTAATCCTTTCAGAAGGGTCTGACGCCAATTAGTCGACCCTAGAGGCATGGGAAACTTGGTTGGCCTAGACGAGAACAGATCAGAAGTTCGATCCCAGACCATGCGAGTGTCATAGTGCCTGGGCGCTTGCCGCTACCCCATCTCTCTCAGCTCTGAAGCACATCTCTCTGTTTGTGGTCATTGGTTGGGAGCCCACTTCCCCTTCCTCTAACCAATCCCGACAACAGTACTGTACACGCATTCTTTGGCTGCAATCTGCCAAAGATATGCAAGCCGACACGTTCTTCTTTCTGGCTATAACCAGGGTGCAAATGCTCCTGAACCGGCCAGAAATATTAGCGGCGCCTACCGAAAAACCTTCATAGGTGCTTGAGAAATCTTCATCTACATTCATGAACGACCGGTTTCATTGATGACATTCGTTTCGAACACCCAGAGGGTTCGCTCGACACTGGACAAATTTCCGTTTGACAATTTGACAAATCGAAGCCAACTTGGGGAAGGTGTGTAGGGAAGGAGTCATTTTAGAGGTACAGAATTACCTTACCATCCCGTTTGAGCCAGTTTCACTGCAGCGCTAGGTATTATCCCTCGAAAAAGACCCTCACGATCCCATGTGGCAATCTTTGAACTTGGTGTGGAAATTCACTTTTCGCCCCGAATTTTTTCGACGTTCACGTTTTTCTGAGTTTGCAACAACTCCTCTTACTCCCAAAAGCATGGGTAATCGCTTTACTTAGTCTGCACTACAGGCAACTGGTAATTGCTGCTTCTTCTTCAGTCTCTATCTTCCTTAGAAACTACCAAAAATTACACTCGGTGAACGTCACATTACACTGACTCAAAGAATGTTTGCTATGTCTGCATGAATACAAATTTTTCTATGTTGATGTGTCGATGTGCACAAAGCAATAAGTGGGACGAGTTGTCACGGTTACGGGGCTAGTTTTTATACGAGATGTCACACAGAATGGATCAGAGAAGGCGTCACGGGGATTCTTTCGGGTAACAACATCACGGAAACATATTCTTCCGATTTAATACGTGCCCACAACGGAACCATCGATTAGAAGTGGAAAAGCAGGGTTTGAGTAGACGAAAGTGGGAGGAAGAGGTTAGCTTCTCTGGTGAGGAGAGAAGGAGAGCGACAAAATCCACTACTTACTATCCCTTACATCGATGTGAGATTGTATACCGTGACCATAGAACTGCAAAGGGCTGTATCAGGTAAACGATACCGTACGTGTGATCTACAAAACAATCAATAAGTGATAAATGATTTATGAAACAAATACTCGTAACACAACACTGTATTGCACAAAAAAACACATTAATTCAATTATTAGTAACACGAAGATGAAAATGTTTGACCATTGGGTAAATGTGAATAGGGATACGGTATCGAAATTACCGGTGGGGAACCAAATTTGCATACATCGTAAGGGAATTGTGTTGACATACCATACCAGTAGGAATCATCAGTTTGTATAAAAAGTGGTTGAGACAGTGGTGTAACGGTACCGGACTCGGGACTGAATGTACAGTAACCACTGGTCGACGGTGAAACGGGAGTGGAATACGGTGACGATGGCGGCAGTACGGTATTGATAGACGGTAGTGAGACAGGTGACGATGTGCCGGGCTTTGTATATGGGCAGTACCGTGGCGAAGAGGATTTCATCTGAAAATAAGAAGCTATAGGTAAGGGCAGGGAAGGTTTTTTTTNTTTTTTTTGATTTTTCACTAAATTTTTGTAATATTTAGGGGAATACACAGCAATTATATTTGGTACAGTACTACATTCAGGGACTCAGAGCCCATGTGTCGTGCTTAATAAGCAAATGATTGATTGGATCGCACCCGACTCGAATGTCTCTGGTCGTCATTAAGCTCACATCATCACAAGGCCGCAACAGGATAATTGGCCTCTCGATGGTGCCCACTACTAATCGCATGCCCATTCATGAGAATATATGAAGAGCTTCGGCAAACAGATATGGGAAGGAACTCGAAGAGTATACATAAGGGTCTCACTTAGGCGGTGTAGCCTTGGGAAAATGTAGTGTAACAGTCACAGGTACCTGGAAGAGAGAAGGGAAGAGGGAGTGCGCTATCCCCAGGGTATCTATGACGGGAACGAGCATGGCCTTGACGACTAAAGCAACACCGCCCATGCCTAACAGTGGTGGAATGAGGTCTGTAGGACCTCGCTTCAACCTTTCGGCCAAGTAGGTGCTATGTATCGGTAGCGTTGCACAAAATTCAACCCAGCCACCCAAGCCAGAACAACCCTTAACGCAAGAAATGTTAGGGCCTAAATAGTCAAACACCTGCGTGGGAAAGGAGTTCTGCAGAGACCAGACGAGAAAATTGTCAACCAACATTGTAGTGATTTCGCAGGGACCCTCACTGGTAGGCATAATATTGTTTTTTCAAAGAGAAATTCAAAAAGGTATAGTTTGGATACTTGATGGAACTGAACGTATTTAACTATTCTACGGAACAACATAGAACCAGTTTTATGATCGGCCACCGGTTCGTACTCCTTTCGCTGTGAGCGGACGGTTATAAGCGAGAAAGTGGTCAAATATATTTCATTTCTAAGTAGATCAATACTTATGAAAAACATAGGAGTAGAACATACCAATTGACTACTGGGTGTTGTTTGATTAGTTGGTAAACGTGGTGGCGATGGCAATAGGATTGGCTTCAATCGGATCGGTTCAGTGGACTTTTGCTTGTTCATCTGAAACACGAGCTGATCAATAAATCAATAATAACGATGTGGTACATACTACGATCATGAATGACGAAAATGACTGGAATTTCACTATTAACGGCCTCATAAGTAATAAAGTGGATCGAAAGCGGAATGCTGAATGGCCTTTGCTTCTCTGACATACTCTATAGCTGCAGGACCTACCACTGTAGTTTGCACCTATGCGTCGAGTAAAAAAAGAAATAAACAAATAAACAAAAACAATCTACGGTTCTCTTCTCAAACAGGGATAAATAATAATCAAGAAATAAATATCAAAATATATGGGGATTGATAGCTAGGCCTGATAAGTGGGGTGTAATGGAAAACTAGAAGTTGATCGGAATAAAAAGATGTCCGAGACAGGTCTAGCGCAATCTTTTCAAGCGCGACTCGCACCGTGCGTAGACGACTACAACACCATTTTATGGGCCGGTTTCTATTGACCTCAACCATCATCACTAGAACGCAAGAATAGATGAGCCTAGTGCAGTGGCTAGAGGCTTTCCTTTCCGGTAGAGCTCTCACCGGTAGAACAAGGCGCAACTGAAGAAACGAGGGATTGAAATTTGGAGTACCAACGGAAGTAACGGACGGAAAGGTAAAAGTGCTGGGCCTTTCAAGCCAGTTGTCTATCATGAAACCCATCCAAATGCCTCCACTTATGTAACGGAAGTGAAGTACATGGCGCACATCAGACATGAAATGCAAGACCTAACAATTCACCCTGACTATAGTTCGAAATGTAAGATGGATTCACACTCTATCTGGAGGTAGACGAACTGAACCTTCCAAAAACTCTTTGAACTGAATTTTGCCAATAATATTAATCAATCACAACCAATTTTCAGAAACTACCTGGGAGATCTAGAGAAAGAAGTAAAGGCAAACGGAAAGAGTTATGAATCAACGTTCCGGTTGTAGGCTTCTAAAGCGGTGATTGGTGAAATGAACGAGAACAGGTGCATGAGATGTCGGGCGGCTTTCCCTAGCGCGATAATCGGGGGCGACTGCAGGTGGTCTCATCCACAGATCGGAAAGCTCTAAGTGAGACAAGTTATTTTTTGAGGTCTAGGATGGCTGAAGTGTAAGGTAGCGAAACGACAGGCTGCTTAGGACGACGACGACGACAACTACGATGATGATGACGACTGGGTCACGGCTTCGCTTACAATACAACACACACACCCCCGTCGGTGCCTCGCGTCGTCGTCGCTTGCGCCATCATCACAAACTGGTCACACAGACACATACACTCGCACAGCACAACCCGATTTAATCTAACGAGCGTCAATCGGCTGAGAGCGAGGACGAGACGTTGCAACGAAATTCACTGGTTGTCTCTATGACTTCGAAAAGGTTTTTCGCAAATTTTGAGGAGCCCGAAAGAAGCGGTGGTAGGCTACGCTAGTGGTAATGCCTCCGAAGATGCCGTAACTAACTCGCAACATTTCCTTAACTGTTTGCTTTCCGATTACGGAACAGTAGCGCAGCGGGTAGGCGCATTGTCTAGGTACTTAAATCTTCTTAGGTTATCTTACTTTCGTCGAGGTCGGCTACTTACCTACCCATATATTAAACAAAATAAAAACTTGTACGTCTGAAATAAATTTACTATTCATCTATTTATTCATTTATTCATGAAAAATTCGGGACCGGCTGATCGTGCATATTACTCTGACTGTCAGACACTATCGGGTCATTGAATTGGTCTGACTCTTTTTAACAAAATCGGAATGCGTGGCGTACCCAAGCAGGGTTGATCAACGACAGTCGTCTGGCCTACTCCTTCCTTCCCTACGATTTTTATGAAAGACAGTATACTCGAAATAGCTGCACCAACCCAAAGATTCATTTTCTCTAGATTGTTTACCTTAGCCCACATGAATTCGTAAAATAGTAAAAATTATTAATTAATAGGCGAAAATAAAACTAATAGGTAAAAACTGTTTTTGCAGCGATAAACTTTGTTCTGAAGGAATTGGTGATTACTGATGTAAAAGCGTAATAGTTATGATGGGATCTCAACCTATAGTTGCTCCGAATTTAAAATGCAATCAGAGAGTCTCTTTAATTTTCTAATTTTATCATAAATTCCCTTGGACCTACCCAGATAAATGGTATCGGAGGGTAAAATAACATGAAACTAGGAATTCTCCTACAGGGAGTAAATGAAGGGACGATTCTTGAAATTTCGATGTTCACCCAAGCTGGTAGGGCGTAGGATCTCTAGACTATGCATACGGAAAATCCGATACGCCGTTCCAATCAGTTCACATTACGAGATATCACGATAGCTTGAAGATCCTTAGAAACACACTCCTTCGGAAAGAACATCAAAGCGAGAATGAAAATCCCAATAAGACTTGCCCCATCACTTCAGAGGCTATACAAAGCCACCGTAATAGATCTGATGGGATCTTAAAACAATCGGGATTGATTCATGGTGGGCAACGTTCAGAACACGATTGCATGGCTGGAATGAATCAGT